CCAATCTTTATGAAATTTTGTATAAAAATACTTCAACTTATATTTCAGTTTACGTGTTCGAGGGTTTTTCAAAAAAATATTTTTAAAGCCCTTTAATTAAATAATAAAAAAAACGTTCTAAAATAACTTTTAGAGAATTAAAGTAAATTAAAAATATGGTGTTAAAGACTGTATTTTTATTAGAACGTTTTTTTTATTACTTAATTTCATAAAGATTGGGATAGGCGTTTTAAAGTTAGAATTTTTTTTACTTATTATGCGTTAATTTTGACGGGAAGTGTATTTATTTTATTAAAAATTTAATTTATAAAAAGAACAAAAATGACAAGTGAGTCATTTAAAGCATGATTTAAAATTTTAAACATAAGTAGGTAAAAGAGTTAAAACATGTTTGCAAATTATATTAAATTCGCGCAAAATATTAAAGTATCTGCGCCCAATAGTAACTACATAAACACAAAAACCTATGTGAGTGGTTTTAAGTTGTTACCCTAACTATAAATAAGTTTCTTACGGTTTTAACAATAATATTAAAAATACTTTTTTAGGAAAAAAAAAACAAGTATCTATTAGGTAAACCGTTAAATTTTGTAATTTTTTATTTTATTACTTAGGTTTAACGGTTTGTCTAAGGTATAGCTACATCTTAATAATAATAAACTAAAGGGGCATTAAGAATCAACTGCCAAACGTAATTCCTACAGAGATGCATGATTTTTTAATTTCTTAAACTCTGAAAAAAATGTTATTTATACATAACATATGAGTACTTAAGTCAATTATTATGTAAAAGTGTTTTCGCTATTGCTGCCTTAAAATACATAAATCCTTTTTATTTAACATTGCAGTCATTCAGTGGCACGTGTTAATACAGTATATTTTAATTTTTAGATTTTTTGATATAAAATGAACTTGTGCGGTTATGCCGAAAATAAACAATATGTATATGGTTTTTCGGCGAAAAACCATATACATATGGTTTATAGAGAGGTATATAGGAATAAGAATGAAATTCGTAAAATAAGCTCGAAAAAAATTGATTTCTTTATTTTTTTATCTAAATGTTTAAAAAACTCTTACATTACTTTACAAATCAATTTTTGAGAAAAATTTTCGTGAAATAATAAATTCGCTTTAGGAAATTAAGTGGATGTGCTCGCTGGTGTACCACGCAGCGCAGCCCTATTTTTATTATAATTTTGCTGGCTCAGAATTTTTCTTGACAGATTTGGATTCATTCACGAAGTGTGACATTTTTTCAGATTTTTTAAATTTCCAGACCACGTAAAAAAAAAATTGTTTATAAAAAAACTGGTAAATTATTATAAACAATTTTTGTTGTAAATTTCAAAACAAAGTAACAAAGTCAATTTCATTACCCTCGATGTGCCATTGTTTCGTTAAAACCGATTTCTTGGTTCAAGGTTTTTTGAAAAGTTACCAAAAATTTCATCTTAAAATATCTGCTAAAAAATTTAAAAATTGTTTTGGTGTCATTTTATGGTAAAATAGAACAGGTTTTCTACATTTCGACAAAAATAAGGATAGCCAATTTTGTTTGTGCTTAAGGGAATCTTTGTGCACGGGCTCGCTGCGATAGTGTCCAGAGCACCGCTATTCATGTAACCCCCGACATTTGCTGTTTTTTGTGTTTAGTAAGTTTTACCCTGAATTATTTTATTAAACCACTTTGTTTAAAAAAAGGTTCAAACCTATTACCTATCTAAATTCAAGTTCTCTTTGATTTACTTGAGCACTTCATACAGACAATGGTATTTTCTGTATGGCTAAGTTAACACGTTAACTGCCATGTGCATACATATTATTCATAGTGATGTGTCACTGGCGCCGTGTGAAGATATATTATGTATACAAGTAATCACATTTCCATGGATTTTTAAGGCAAAGAAGGTTTATTTGGCCTAGAAGTACATATTATTTACTTGGCGCACAGAATTTTATTGAATATATATATATATATATTAGGGTGGTCCAAAAAAGTGAAGTTGATTTTACAGATTGTCTCACCCCCCCATTTTTTTACCTCCAACATCAATAAAAAATTCCCAAAATTTTAGGCCCCTAGGTGTATTAGAAGGGAGTGCTCATTAGCTAAGAGATTTCAGTTTTTTTTAAATTTATTTAAAAAAACCATTACCCCATCTTTTCACTGGTTAGATAAAATGTTATGCCCTATATATTAATGTTACAATTACCAAAGAATATTATTTACCTAAACATATATTTCTTACACACTAGTTCAATCAGCTGATCCCGCACCTTTCCCTAAGAAACTAAAAACTACACTTTACAGTTTAAATGTCGTAAGTGCTTTGGATAGGGAAAATGTCTCAGACCGTGAAGTTCTAAGGCTTATAGTACAGATTGCGATAGCACTGGGTAAAGATCCGCATGAAATGCCTTCTTGCAGCACTATTTGCCGGAGACGAAAACATGAAAGGAAGAAAAGATATGAAAGAAAGTTTTTCTTGTCAAGGTTTAGTTTTTGTTCATTGGGATGGTAAAATTCTTCCTGATTACCACTGCTTAACTAAAGTAGAACGTTTACCAGTAGTAGTTTCAGCAGATGGAATAGAAAAGTTATTAGGAGTACAGCAAATGAAGTCGGAAACGTACTTCGGGAATGGAATCTGGTGGATAAAGTATAAGCAATGTGTTTTGACACAACATCTGTAAATACTGGAATGAAGAATGGATGCTACGTTTTGCTTGAGAAAAAATTGGGAGCTACTTACTTTGGTTAGTCTGCAGTCATCATGTTTTGGAAATAATTGTTAGTAAGGTTTTCAAGTTGTGCTGCTTTCCGGATATTCCAATTTTTAATCGATTTAAAATAATTTGGGTACCTATTGATCGTATCTGCTTCAAGTCCTCAGACCTAGAATCGTCGAAGAATTTTGAATTTTACAAAAACTCCACAATCCCCTTGTTGCTAGCTGCATTGAAACAAAAGTCTCAACGTTATGACGACTACTTGGAACTGATCGAGTTGGCTTTGGTCGTTTTGGTGAAATCTGGATCAAGGCACTGTGTGCCACTAAATTTAGCTTAAGCTACTATGTCCGACCTAACTTTTTGCAAAGATTTAGAACGCTATGAGGAGATTGGGAAAAGCGAGGTTGCTAGAGATACTCTGATCTTTGGTACTTATCCAATGAACTCGTAATAATATTAATACCAATAATAATAATAATAATAATAATAATCATAATATTAATATGGCCTTTGTCTAGGCAATAAATTATTTCTTACTTATATTTTTTCAAGGTCGACTGTGTGTTGTAAACTTCGAGTTGTAAATGATATAGCGGAAAGATGGGTAAAACTATTTGAAGAGCATAATCAATTATAAAAAATGAGGACGAAAAGCAAGACTTGTTACAAATCGTAGAAGCGAATCGGAAATCTGTTCCGACAGAAACCACAAAAAAAACTGCAATTTATGCTACTAAGAGTTCTGGACCATGATTTTCATGTGGATATATTGTCTTCAGATTCATTCTATCATAGCTGTGAGCACTCCCTTCTAATTAAGCTAGAGGGTTCAAATTTTCTAAAATAACTTTTTTTACTTTATATAAAAAAATTAGAGGGTGAGAATAAGTCTATTTACAACTTCACTTTTTTAATTCGTTTCTGGACCACCCCAAATTTTTGTGTAATTTTTTTTCTCTTGTGTTATAACAAAATGGGGGGGTGGGACAATTCAATATTAAAAGTATATCTTTTACCTCTATAGCTAAGGACCACCCTAATATATATATATATATATATATATTAGGGTGGTCCTTAGCTATAGAGGTAAAAGATATACTTTTAATATTGAATTGTCCCACCCCCCCATTTTGTTATAACACAAGAGAAAAAAAATTACACAAAAATTTGGGGTGGTCCAGAAACGAATTAAAAAAGTGAAGTTGTAAATAGACTTATTCTCACCCTCTAATTTTTTTATATAAAGTAAAAAAAGTTATTTTAGAAAATTTGAACCCTCTAGCTTAATTAGAAGGGAGTGCTCACAGCTATGATAGAATGAATCTGAAGACAATATATCCACATGAAAATCATGGTCCAGAACTCTTAGTAGCATAAATTGCAGTTTTTTTTGTGGTTTCTGTCGGAACAGATTTCCGATTCGCTTCTACGATTTGTAACAAGTCTTGCTTTTCGTCCTCATTTTTTATAATTGATTATGCTCTTCAAATAGTTTTACCCATCTTTCCGCTATATCATTTACAACTCGAAGTTTACAACACACAGTCGACCTTGAAAAAATATAAGTAAGAAATAATTTATTGCCTAGACAAAGGCCATATTAATATTATGATTATTATTATTATTATTATTATTATTGGTATTAATATTATTACGAGTTCATTGGATAAGTACCAAAGATCAGAGTATCTCTAGCAACCTCGCTTTTCCCAATCTCCTCATAGCGTTCTAAATCTTTGCAAAAAGTTAGGTCGGACATAGTAGCTTAAGCTAAATTTAGTGGCACACAGTGCCTTGATCCAGATTTCACCAAAACGACCAAAGCCAACTCGATCAGTTCCAAGTAGTCGTCATAACGTTGAGACTTTTGTTTCAATGCAGCTAGCAACAAGGGGATTGTGGAGTTTTTGTAAAATTCAAAATTCTTCGACGATTCTAGGTCTGAGGACTTGAAGCAGATACGATCAATAGGTACCCAAATTATTTTAAATCGATTAAAAATTGGAATATCCGGAAAGCAGCACAACTTGAAAACCTTACTAACAATTATTTCCAAAACATGATGACTGCAGACTAACCAAAGTAAGTAGCTCCCAATTTTTTCTCAAGCAAAACGTAGCATCCATTCTTCATTCCAGTATTTACAGATGTTGTGTCAAAACACATTGCTTATACTTTATCCACCAGATTCCATTCCCGAAGTACGTTTCCGACTTCATTTGCTGTACTCCTAATAACTTTTCTATTCCATCTGCTGAAACTACTACTGGTAAACGTTCTACTTTAGTTAAGCAGTGGTAATCAGGAAGAATTTTACCATCCCAATGAACAAAAACTAAACCTTGACAAGAAAAACTTTCTTTCATATCTTTTCTTCCTTTCATGTTTTCGTCTCCGGCAAATAGTGCTGCAAGAAGGCATTTCATGCGGATCTTTACCCAGTGCTATCGCAATCTGTACTATAAGCCTTAGAACTTCACGGTCTGAGACATTTTCCCTATCCAAAGCACTTACGACATTTAAACTGTAAAGTGTAGTTTTTAGTTTCTTAGGGAAAGGTGCGGGATCAGCTGATTGAACTAGTGTGTAAGAAATATATGTTTAGGTAAATAATATTCTTTGGTAATTGTAACATTAATATATAGGGCATAACATTTTATCTAACCAGTGAAAAGATGGGGTAATGGTTTTTTTAAATAAATTTAAAAAAAACTGAAATCTCTTAGCTAATGAGCACTCCCTTCTAATACACCTAGGGGCCTAAAATTTTGGGAATTTTTTATTGATGTTGGAGGTAAAAAAATGGGGGGGTGAGACAATCTGTAAAATCAACTTCACTTTTTTGGACCACCCTAATATATATATATATATATTCAATAAAATTCTGTGCGCCAAGTAAATAATATGTACTTCTAGGCCAAATAAACCTTCTTTGCCTTAAAAATCCATGGAAATGTGATTACTTGTATACATAATATATCTTCACACGGCGCCAGTGACACATCACTATGAATAATATGTATGCACATGGCAGTTAACGTGTTAACTTAGCCATACAGAAAATACCATTGTCTGTATGAAGTGCTCAAGTAAATCAAAGAGAACTTGAATTTAGATAGGTAATAGGTTTGAACCTTTTTTTAAACAAAGTGGTTTAATAAAATAATTCAGGGTAAAACTTACTAAACACAAAAAACAGCAAATGTCGGGGGTTACATGAATAGCGGTGCTCTGGACACTATCGCAGCGAGCCCGTGCACAAAGATTCCCTTAAGCACAAACAAAATTGGCTATCCTTATTTTTGTCGAAATGTAGAAAACCTGTTCTATTTTACCATAAAATGACACCAAAACAATTTTTAAATTTTTTAGCAGATATTTTAAGATGAAATTTTTGGTAACTTTTCAAAAAACCTTGAACCAAGAAATCGGTTTTAACGAAACAATGGCACATCGAGGGTAATGAAATTGACTTTGTTACTTTGTTTTGAAATTTACAACAAAAATTGTTTATAATAATTTACCAGTTTTTTTATAAACAATTTTTTTTTTACGTGGTCTGGAAATTTAAAAAATCTGAAAAAATGTCACACTTCGTGAATGAATCCAAATCTGTCAAGAAAAATTCTGAGCCAGCAAAATTATAATAAAAATAGGGCTGCGCTGCGTGGTACACCAGCGAGCACATCCACTTAATTTCCTAAAGCGAATTTATTATTTCACGAAAATTTTTCTCAAAAATTGATTTGTAAAGTAATGTAAGAGTTTTTTAAACATTTAGATAAAAAAATAAAGAAATCAATTTTTTTCGAGCTTATTTTACGAATTTCATTCTTATTCCTATATACCTCTCTATAAACCATATGTATATGGTTTTTCGCCGAAAAACCATATACATATTGTTTATTTTCGGCATAACCGCACAAGTTCATTTTATATCAAAAAATCTAAAAATTAAAATATACTGTATTAACACGTGCCACTGAATGACTGCAATGTTAAATAAAAAGGATTTATGTATTTTAAGGCAGCAATAGCGAAAACACTTTTACATAATAATTGACTTAAGTACTCATATGTTATGTATAAATAACATTTTTTTCAGAGTTTAAGAAATTAAAAAATCATGCATCTCTGTAGGAATTACGTTTGGCAGTTGATTCTTAATGCCCCTTTAGTTTATTATTATTAAGATGTAGCTATACCTTAGACAAACCGTTAAACCTAAGTAATAAAATAAAAAATTACAAAATTTAACGGTTTACCTAATAGATACTTGTTTTTTTTTTCCTAAAAAAGTATTTTTAATATTATTGTTAAAACCGTAAGAAACTTATTTATAGTTAGGGTAACAACTTAAAACCACTCACATAGGTTTTTGTGTTTATGTAGTTACTATTGGGCGCAGATACTTTAATATTTTGCGCGAATTTAATATAATTTGCAAACATGTTTTAACTCTTTTACCTACTTATGTTTAAAATTTTAAATCATGCTTTAAATGACTCACTTGTCATTTTTGTTCTTTTTATAAATTAAATTTTTAATAAAATAAATACACTTCCCGTCAAAATTAACGCATAATAAGTAAAAAAAATTCTAACTTTAAAACGCCTATCCCAATCTTTATGAAATTAAGTAATAAAAAAAACGTTCTAATAAAAATACAGTCTTTAACACCATATTTTTAATTTACTTTAATTCTCTAAAAGTTATTTTAGAACGTTTTTTTTATTATTTAATTAAAGGGCTTTAAAAATATTTTTTTGAAAAACCCTCGAACACGTAAACTGAAATATAAGTTGAAGTATTTTTATACAAAATTTCATAAAGATTGGTAAAGGCGCTTAAGAGGTAGATTTTTTTTTACTTATTATGCATTAATTTTGACGGGCAGTGTATAAGTTTTGTAGTCTCATACCAGAGACTAGGCTCTGTTTTATACTAACAAGTATTATACTTCATAACAAGCAAAATAAGTTCTAATAAGAATTTCACGATATTTTGACCGAATAATTTAATTAATTTGATTTTTTAGGTTGTTAAGTATCTAAATATTTTTTAAGCAATGTGAAAATAATTTTGAAACTCATAGGCGCATACTTTTACACATATACGCATCATTTCAAAATAAGAATGCTTCCTTTTCGTGGGGTTAAATTAGGGGAAGTGTATTTTCAAGTGTGATTGCATTAATGCGCATGCGTGGCGGAATTGCCGGAATTCAAATTAATATCATATTGTTGTCCTTATTTGGGAAATATAATAATTTTTTTATATTAATTGTAAATCTATGACCTAATGAACTGACTACGCATAAATCGACAAATTTTCCCTTAAAAAAAAGAAACAAGGTCATCCATACAAAATATAGCGAATAAACAACAAAAAATTTTGCGTATTTTGCGTATTAACAGAAAGGCACATATACCTATAGGTTCTGGTAAACAGTTTTTTTTTTAATTTTGTTTGTAGGTAGGTACTCAAAATCGCGTGGTAAAAGGTAAAAAATAATATATTAAGTTATTTATTTACCATATTTAGAAAATATAAATAATATTATATTATGTATCTATAGTTTGATAAACGGCATTTAATTTAATTTAAAGTTACAGCTTGTGAATATGGAAGGAGATAAAATACATTTTTACATGTTTTCATGAAACTAAGTGATCTATTAAATACACATTGACAAGTTGTGGCTTTATGACGTTTTTCATAACGTGCTGAAGTTAGAAACAAACTTTTAGTCAAGGGCTAAAGTTAGCTTTAAGTGAGTTGACAGTTGTCAAATGTCATACAATCGTTAAAATAAAGTGCCATTATTTTGAAATAATGTAAAGTGACCAGATTCTGTCAAAAAATAGATGGACATTTTGTATGAATTTACCTTAATTACAAAATTGACACAATGATACAATGCAAATTGTAAGTTTGACGTTACTTAATTATTGTCCATTGAGTCAATTTTGTAATTAAGGTTAATTTACAAAAAATGTCCCGCTATTTTTTGACAGAATCTGGGCACTTTGAATAATACTAAATGTAAAATTTATTTTATTATCTCTATACAAAAATACTTTTTTATTAAATGGTTTCTCAGTGCCAATATTTGAAAAGTTTGTACTGACCTTTTGATTTCGCCAGCAGTAAACTAGATTTAACTGATAAAGCGTTAAAAATTTCGGGTAGAGACTACACCGTGTAGTGCCCATGAAACAATATTTTCACTTTCACCGTGAAAAACTGCTTTTATATCTGATTTAAACGGTTGTTAGTCTATTTTAAGGGATAAATTTCGATTTACACATAAAAATTTGACATTTTGACCGGATACAGGTTTTCAAGTTAGAAATTCCTACGCGAATGGTTACTATATTTTTTATGTCGCTTTTTACAAATATTTAATTTAAATAATTTTTAGATAATAATAGGTAATTGTGAAAAAAGTATAGTATGCAACACGTTTAAAAACTTTTCTAGACACTAATTTTATTAAACTCTCGCAAGCTCGCTTGTGCCTAATTTAAATTCGTGGCATTTTATTAAACGCCACGAATTTTAATTTTAAACTCATTACATAAAATACTAGGTATTATATAAAATACTAAGTAGGTATTATATTTTAAATCAAAATCTTTGCACATTATTGGTTACAATGTTGTTTTAAGGTATTGTGTATAAAAAATTGCATTTTTTTTAGGAATGATCCATGGTAGTTTTTCATATACCGATCCAACTGGTTTAAAAGTAAATTATAATTACAACGCCGGTTCAAGAGTTGCTCCTGGATATTCTTATAAATCAGAACCGGAACAAATTGCCCAAAAATATGTTTCACAAGGTTCTGAAAACACAGAAAATCAAAATTATTATCCACTACCTGCAGCAGTGCCTTTACAAACCAGACCCAAAATCGAATCAAGATACAGACAAGCTTATGTACAACGACCTAGAAATGAACCTTTAAGGTCTTTAGAAAAAAAATAATACCGATGAAATAAATTTTATAAAAAATATAAAAAAAATTATGTATAATTTAATTATTTCATCATATTTATAAAAAGTAGTAAAACATTTTCTATTATTGAAAACTAAAATATTGGATGTTTGTGTGAGTTTATTTTTAAATATAATATTTGTAATGCTTAGTATTTTTTTTTATTATACACTGTTTTTTTTTAAATTTCGTTAATTAATAATTGTTATTAATATATTAACACCAGAGCTGGGCACGAGTACTAAAAAAAGTATCGTAAAGTTTTAAGTACTTTTTACTCGTGAGTACTTTACTCGTGAGTAGATATGTAGAGAGAGGCTACGGTTACGAGTAGTAATCGTGAAAAAACGAGGTAAGAGTACGAGTAATTATGAAAAAATAATGTTCCACTCCTGTCCCTTAAACCTATCAAAAACTGTCAAAAATACGGTTTCAAGATTTCAAGAATTGAAAACATTTCTTGTTATAAAGTCTGTTTTACTATACTATATATAGCCTTTCGATTTTATTATAATAATAATGATAATAATAATCTCTTTATTTTAAAAAATTCCACAAATACCTAGTTTAGTAGTTTATAATTTTAGCTATTTACTTGTTAAAAAACCTATAGGCCATAATATATTATATTATATAATTTAAAACAAAATGTTTGGATGCTTGCTATATTTTGGCAAAAAGTCATCGATATATATAATAAACGGAAACACTCTTATATATTACTCGTGAATTCCACGAGTATTTTTTACGAGTACATTGAATTTGGTTTGTAGGTACGAGTAATAAGTATTTCAAATGAAAAATACTTATGAGTAAAAAAGTACTCGTATTTTTTTACTCGTAATTGAAATACGAGTAAAAGTACTCGAGTACTTGGACAGCTCTGATTAACACCTCGTACTACAAAATTTTCATTATTGACCATGTAGAGTAAAAAATATGGCAAATATATATATTTGCCATATTCTGACCCTATAGTATACTATAGGGTCAGAATTCGTGAAATCAGCACGAAATATTTTTGTTCAAAAAATTAAATTGTATGTGGCCAAATCAATGGCTTTTTATGATACAATTAAGCCTGCCAAGCAGCAAAAAAATAAAAACTGCATAATTTATAAACAATTGAATTTAGAGGTAACTATTTCAAAAACCATAGTAGAATACATGGCGATAGACGTAATTAAAAAGTAATTACAAACTCTTGAGTATTTAGCTACATTTTCTAATCACCTAATTAGGTGATTAGAAAATGTCATTAAATACTCATTAATGGGTTTTTAATTAGGTGATTAGAAAATGATTAAATACTCGTTAATGGGTTTTTAATTACGTCTATCGGCATGAATTCTACTCCCTTAATTAGGTGAATTGAATTTTGAGGTAACTATTTCAAAAACCACAGTAGAATACATGGCGATAGACGTAATTAAAAAGTAATTACAAACCCTTGAGTATTTAACTACATTTTCTAATCACCTAATTAGGTGATTAGAAAATGTAGAATACATGGCGATAGACGTAATTAAAAAGTAATTACAAACCCTTGATTATTTAACTACATTTTCTAATCACCTAATTAGGTGATTAGAAAATGTCATTAAATACTCATTAATGGGTTTTTAATTAGGTAATTAGAAAATGATTAAATACTCGTTAATGGGTTTTTAATTACTTTTTAATTACGTCTATCGGCATGAATTCTACTATGGTTTTTGAAATAGTTACCTCAAAATTCAATTCACCTAATTAAGGGATTAGAAAATGTCATTAAGGGATAATCGACTCTCCAAATGCTCATGACAATCCAATGAAGTTTTCTCTTTTTATTTTATTTTTCAGAAAATAAAAAGCTGAATGGGGAATTGAACCCCACATGCTTTTAACAACTGGGCCACTAAGCGTTGTCATAAAATTGTGTATTGAGGTTTGATGCGTACCTTAATGATATCTTTTATTTTTCTAAAACAAAAAAGCCCGTCGAGAACCGAACCACGGACCTCTCGATCCGTGGATCTGGTTTTTAGATGAGGTAGATACAAAACTAAATAAAAAGTGTAGAATATAGATAGCGATATTTGTTTGATATGTTTAAACGAGTTGTGGAAAAAACATGCCAACTTAAATTTTAATAAAACGAAATAAAAGTCACTAGGTGTGGCCTCCTACAATACCATAATTAGCGTTTGCTAAATATAGACATTGATATTTTTACCCCTCACCTATGCTACAGAATTATAGACAGCGTAGTTTTGTATCTGCCTTATCTAAAAACCAGATTTCTGGAGTTCTCGACAGGCTTTTTTGTTTTAGAAAAATAAATTAAACATCAATACACAATTTTATGTGAACGCTCAGTGGCCCAGTTGTTAAATGCAGTTGATGGCGGACCAACAATACAGAGACATCTTAAACAGAGACACAGTAATAAACAATCACATTGATACACTCTATGACCTCATCAGGGAGTTAAAAAACTCCCAGGCAAGGATATCCCGCCTGACATCACACAAAAAATACAGCAATAGAATTTGCACAAACACATGTACCACAGATACAATTCGGCATTCATATTACGGCAAGAGGTGAAGCACGGAATCAAAGCTTTCAAGGACGAGGTCTGGGGAGATACTCTGCGCAACCTGAAAGCCTTCGACAATTTACTTTGGCGGTTGGCTAGGAGGCTGATGAATAAAAAGTCCGATATGCCGACTATAAACTCAGGCGTTACGGTTACGGTTTTTGTTGTCCGCTTGAACAATGCCGAATCTTTTTCAGCTTCTAGTCCTAGAATCGAGCATTGTCTCCTCGAATTAGTACATATAACGGTAACCATTTTACCGTCAAAAAAACCTGCACAGCTCATCTGTCCCAACTAGTGATGTAAAATATTTATATTGGGTATTTATAGGGGTATTTTGAGTTAAATCGATTTTGAATTTAATTCTTGCATAAAAATAGCTTGAAATCAATAAATAGTTTAATTCAATATAGTCAAGTACTAGGATAGATAAATAAATCTCAGATAATATTACTACATGCCAATGTTTTTTTAAATATTCATCAAAGTATTTAAAGAAAATGTATGCAAGGTAAAAGAAGAAAAATTAAAAACTGCCGGATTTCAAAACGCTTTAATATTTAGTACATAGTATTTAGTAATGAAAATGAAAATAGATCCCTAGTTTATTTTCATAAATTTATTAGAATTTTTCATTTGCCTCAGAATCTGAGGTAGAGTCCGCGTAAGGAATATCTTCCTCCATTTCGCTCTCCGATTTAGATGTTTGGTTTTCTTTTAACTCCATTTCATCATATTCAGTACCTCTGAAAATGGTATTCTTTTCTTTGACTTCTAGTGGATGTAGATGGAGTTGATAATGGAGTTGGTTTAACATTTTGCAGTTCCAAGATATTTATGATTGGAATGACAGTTCTTTTGTCAGTTTTATTTTTAACTTCCAATTATGGGATAAATAAGCAATTTTGGCTGCTCTTTTAGTAGTTAATTTATTTTATTTGAAAGAATCCGACTAAAAGTACAAAAAGTTATTTCAGTAGCTGCGGACGTTACAGGAGGCAACCTCAGCAATTAAATTTATTCCTCGTAATCCCCTCCACCAGGCAAGGGGACTTACAATTCCTTGGCATATGAATTTTCTTGCCCATATTCCTTGTTTATCTCTGTAGTCTGATAATTCAGCTTCTACTTGAGCCAGTGACAAGTTCATAGAGGATGCGGTTACATAATATATATTATATTATAAACTCAAAAGCGTTTAATTTCATCTGGAATTAAATGACCCCCTTGATTTGATGGATCTAATAGACAAGCAGCTAGATGAATGTGTAAACTAACCAAGACATAAATAAACATAGGAACCTACACTCAGAGAAATATCATGTCATGAAAAGCGGGGAAAATTATATTAGTTTAAATAATCGGGAATATTTGATTTAAATAGAAAATTTTGTAATTTTATATACATTACCAACAGTTTTACAATGTATTTGAACACTTTTAAAGTGCATTATCTTTAAAATATGTACACGTAAATAAATCTATTTATTTCATTGCGTTCCTCAACGTTGTTTCAAAAAGATATGCATTATTAAATTGCAATAGGTAGGTACACGTATTAATGACGCAAAAATATATTTGAATCCCTTTGAATTATTATCGTTTTTATTGATTTTATGATATTTTTTCTGAGTGTAGAAACTTATATGCAACTATAAATGCAATAATCGAACTCAGCAGTCGTTACGAAAACTTAAAAGACAAAGACGGACAAACCAATGCGTACCACAGTATAAATAACTGTATACTGTGCTTAAACGACTAGGGCAAAAACGGCTATTGGGTAGAAGTGTTAACACCCGCCGCCTCGGACGTCTGCAATGTCGCAAGGAAACCACAGGGGGAAGGGTGACGGTCAAGCCGTAGCCGACAAGGAAGACAAGTTCCTACAGCTAACTAACAACTCCCCAACTTCAAATAGTAATCCCAAATGTTTGGAGTAATACTAATTTCCCGGCCTAGGGGGATTCCGCGTCGTACACAGATTTAAGTCGTCGTAATTGTCCCTTAAAAACCAAAATGTCTGTCCTCCCCGTCACAACCACCTTTTGTCCCTAATAGACGTATAGCAACGGCCCAGCGAATCCGGGAGAGGCTATTCAAACTATTCGCATGTCGCTCTCAAGCCTCAAATATGGAACATGTACCGGACGCGGTGTATATTTGCACTCAGCATTCACGGGTGAACCCGTGCAGTGGCTGGTGGCGGAAAAAATCGGGGTACGGTAATGGAGGCTTGTGCGAGGCTCGGGAGAGATGAGGCAATGGGGCTGGTTAAACGACTCTTATACTCATACTAATACTCAATCGCTACAACAATCACAATAAGTATGTATTTTAGGTATTTAGTCCAATTTTGCGCTCTTAAAAATAACTTTAAGAACTGAAACAACGTCTTTTAAGTTTTTACATTAAAAAAACGGCCTTGCCTTTTTCGTTTAATTGAATATCTCAGCGCCACATTATTCTGGTTCAAATTTAAGTTTGATTTTCTATGAATTGATGTTGTGTTGCTGTTAAGTTGTAAACGGTTGACTTTAGAGAAAAAATTAAATAAATTTTTTGTAGGAAATTTAGCAGTGGCACGGCCGGCCGTACCATCGAAAATCAGGAAGAAAGGGATTTTTAGTTTTTCCTAAAAAGCTTGTCAGATATTATAATCTTTGAATAAAAAACGTTTTTTATTCAAAGATTATTATGTATGTAGGCCACTAATACACGTTCATAAAACCATAGCGTAACCTAAAAACCATTCGTGCTTTGGTCTTTGTTTTACGCCCTTTTGTTTAGAATAATAAACATGGAGCTATCTTCAATATTTATTTTCCAAAGTGTTAAAAATAATAATAATAGTTCTACAGTGAATATAACAAATTTTGTGGGTGAAAAAGACGCACTAAAATAGTTAGATGAGTATTAAAGAAAAACAACTACAAATTGGATTGTTAAGAATGGTGTTTATGGGTCATTCTCACGAAAATGTTCAATTTACTGTCCCTTATTAATAATTTACATACTTACGGCAAAATATATATTTTTTTGTAGTAAAATTAAAGAATATTACTGCCTTAACGCTAGTCCACATGCATTTTGACAAATATTTTTAAAATCTTATAAAAATTTTAGTTAACAGTACGTGAGATCTCACGTTTGTTAGTTATCCCCCGCCAGAGACACTATATTTCAATTTCAATTTTCTTATTTATAAAATTAAAGTTTTAAGTACAAAAATAATAAACAGCACGAAAATACCACAAGTTTTTTCATCTTATTAAAAAATATTAGTAAATGTTTTTTATATCCCCACTAATAATTGTTTTATAAGTGTCCCTGGATGACTTTCTCACCTCCGTTAATATAGACATAAATTGTAATAAAATATCATAGATGGCTCTTACGTTGCCAGGTATTTGTTAACCTAAAAAAATAGTTATTTTTAGTTTGATTCTTGGTGCGTGACATATTATTTTTAGGTTTTTTGGAACATTTTCGAGAATATCAACTATTCAGTGTTCTAACGTGGAGCATAATTCTCACTGCTGTTAGTGGTTATCAAAAGGTAAGCAATTAGATATTAATAAATATAATTATATATTTAAATAATATGAATAGGCAAGAGTTTATATTGTCTGGGACCGGGGTCTTTATAACCAGTAGACAGGTCAATAGCGGGAAATTTGAATAAAAACCTCACACCCTTTAATCTCACTGCTGTTAACAGCTTTTATAACGAAGGTGAGACATGTTTACGTAAGTGAGGTTTTATAGTACCTATTCTGGTATATTTGTATAATGAGGAGTTCGTTAACGTTTTCTGTTAAATTAATCTGAAATTTTCAGTTCCTAACACCTGAAAAATAATCAGCAGTCAACAAAGTCCTGATGAGGTCTTCATTATTGAGATGTATAAGTACTCTGACGGTTTACCTTTATCTTCATGGGTTAGCAATCAGTGACAAGGAAAATCGATCGATGATTTTGTAGTAGTTAAACTGTGCAGTAAAATAGTATATTAAAGAACTAATTTTCTTAATTCACTTCTCCGTTAATATCAAATTTAAGTTTTATTACAGATATTTTCTTAGATTTTTTTTTCAAGCTTAGAGTATTCGGGTAACTGATACATATATGCAATAATATACATACATATCTAATTATTTAGGTAAAATCTAATTTTTTTTTTCAAAATTGATACCGGGAAAATCCACAAGTTTATGATAATGACCCTTATAACATGTAACAAGAAACAAAAACTAAACAATTCAGAGAGAAATACTGGTTGTTTATCAAGTTTATCAAGTTAAAAAGTGTGTAATGGAAAGGACCCGGTCTACGTTGTGTTTAATTAATTTACCCTTTAAAATCTATACTTGCCTTAAAGACTCGTATTTACCTTAAATTTAGCCAAGAATTCGTCTAGCACAGATTCGTCGTAATAAAGTAGGAAGAGTGACAAACAATCAAACAAATATTTGTAACCATAATTATTTATTTACATTAAAGAGGACATAAGCCAATGCCAAAATCAATATTTCGTTATATGCCCTTTTTAACAGTAAAATGCCAAGATCGTTGACCTAGCGCCTGAGTCGATCTCTAAGACAGGGATTCCAATATTCTTGCCGCCAGTCATAAAATCAAGTGACAGGTACCCTGCTTTTAAGAAACTAATGGGGTCTACACCCTGCGGTGGTTGTTTTGTTATAAAAGTCAAATCGGTAAACAGAGGTAATCTGTTTATCGATTTACAGTGGGCCTGTGCCTCTTTTTATTGTACATCATTACGATCGAGTGTTGTCTCGGTTTATTTTTATTTTGGTATCTTGAAGTACGTATGTGTTTATTAGTACCCTTTTATCAGTTCACATATCAATATTAGTCTCCGCGGGAGTGTGTTAATATTTATGTAGTTGTTGGGAAGGGCTTTTCGGTGGGAAATTTCCAATATTGACGCTTCATCGGTGGTCATTGCCTTTTTCGCTGTTCCTACAGGATATAGGGAGGTACAGGATGTTTTGTCAATTTAATATTATCGCACTCCCAGATTGAACTAGATTAAGCATTATATTGACAGCCTTACGACAAGCGTTTAGTACATGCAAGCAATTAATAACTCAAGGTGTCTATATACTTCTAAAAAAATGTTACATTGACTTTCGTTGCAGATCATACCGTCAATAAGTGCCCGATGTGGTAGTTATTTGATGGAAAATGGAATAGCTCCTAGCAGTAGAGTTTTGTCACCTGATTTAACTGGCTGTGGCAGGTAGGTATCCCCGATTCCTGTTGCTATTTATTCATTTATTTAAGTAATGGCTCTTACTTTCTTTACGTTGGAAAAACAATTACAATGATGACATGTTTTGGCTCACCTGTAGTTTTTGGTCTACTAATTGAGTTAAGTCCTTGAATAAATAGTAATATTACTTTATAAACTAATTGTGCACTACTACTACACAATATTTCAACTATAATTTCGGGCACTACCCGCACTTCACTTTCTTCAACCACTGTTTGTTTAATGGTTTGCACTTCCGGATTGTCTAAATTTGGTCTTTTGACTGGAATAGTACAAAGCACTAAAGGTGTTTGTATTCCTTGTCATCTCTTTTTTAAACCGGAACCAGGGTTCCAACCTTGTGCAGTCACGAGTTTCCACCCGGTACTATAAAGTTAGGTTTTTAATCGGTTCCGCCACTGCGATGGTCGCAATGCATGTTTGACCTCTAACTAACGGGATACGTTGACTTAGGCCCGGTTCGGCGTTCCCGATGCGTTTCCCGACTCTTTGTGGAGCGGTTTACTTTGTTGCCCCAAATTTTTGGGTTGCGGCTGATCTTTTGACCATCGATACTGATTTGGCCGGTGGCGATGGTAGTGCTAGTTTGGGGTCGGTTTTGTGATTTTAATTCCTGGCGGCGCTCCCGAGATGGCTCACGACGACGCACCACAGCTCTCTCAAAACGGTCTCCTCGCTGTAGCCGGCGGTCGTACCTTTCGATTGGTTTATTTGATATTGCCGTAAAAACTCGCCGAACTAAATAACTGTTCCAAGTACAAGTTATAATTTCAAAAAAAAATGGGATCTATATACATTTAAATGCCCTGGCCCCAGAGCTGTTCCGAGTACAATGAAAAAGTACTTGAGTACTGAATACAAGTACTCGAGTACCCATGCGAGTAAAAAGTACCGAGTACACTTTAGTTATGAAATGTTGGGAGAAATGTTAGAGAAATGGTTTGATTAAGAAATTAATTTAGAATCGCTAGAGCAAAACTAAATACTAGCCGGCCTATTGCCTTCATCAAATATTGATATTTCGCTTTATGTTAATTATCAACTAAGGCCGGCTAGTATCTCGTTTTGCTTGGCCTTAGCTTTATTTTTAAATTATCTTTTTGAGAAATATTGTTACATTTTTCTACCTTAAATAAAACGTTTATTTTCTGAGTGTACAAGGTGGCCTAAGTTCGTTGCTTTTCACGCGAACCGAGATATAGAAGGTTGTGTGGATGTAGGCCATTGAATAAAGAAAACACAGAAAAGAGCTTAAGTAGGTATATATTGGATGTGTCATTGGAAGTCCGGAAAGGTTTTACAATATGGCCGTCGCCCATTGCAAAAAATTATAACCGGACTTCCGAAGTCCGCAGCCACCAAAATATAAACAAAATTACATTTCATACTTAAGTAAAAACCTTTCGTTTACATTTTTGCAACCTTAAGTACCGCACAGCTCTGCCTTGCCCCTACCCCCAGCAAACAGAAAAGCGTGAAAAACACGTGACATTTTGGTAATATTTCAACCATATACGTATATAATACGAGTTATCAACGTCGGAATGTCACATTTTTATGACGTATTTTGTGGACGTAATTAAAACGTGTTAGACGTAAAAAAAACGTCCCCCTTAACGTGGTTCAGAAGATTCTTAAAGACATCTTTAATACGTCTTTATGTCCATTTTAGACGTCTTTAAGGTACTAAATTAACGTGTTTTGGTTGTTGAATAATTTCTCAAAAATAGTGCTGTTTAACATTAAATGTTAAATTTTATAAAAAGCTTTTGCTTTTAGTAAGTAGTGGGGCCCACTGCTTACTTTTCGCAGAGTGGGCCACAGGACCAGCTGTGTCCCTTCAAAACTTACAAGCAGAAGCGGTATGGTCAGTAATTTTGCCTTAGTAAGAAATTCTTACTTAGCAGGTTAAGGCATTCCACCTTTATAGGACTATCTATTGTGCTACAGAGGCGAGAGGTATGCATGGGTTGCCTACATATTGGCGAATTTTGAAACATTTTGATGACGTCGCATATTCGTCTGTTTCTGGTATGAAATAAGTTGTCAGATAATGGCGAGTTTATTGTTTATTTTTACGTCTTAAAAGTCATTCGTCATTTTCTGTTTGCTGGGTACTTGGGTACATATTTCGTCTAAATTTTACGTGTATCAAGCGTATTTTTAAAACTTCTCAGAATTCCTGTGGTAAATACCTTCTTGATTTCAATTGAAAGAACTGTATGGGAAGTTTTTTTTATGTTTATGTAATATTTTTAACAAATATATAAATTTCATTTTTGTTAAAACATTCGTTTTTTCAAAACGTTTATTTCACGTAAATATTCCGTTACTTTAAAACTCGTTAAATAACAACCAAAATGCGACGTGAATAACACGACTTGACTTAAGGGCGAATTTTCGTTAAATGTACATTTTGTATATAGATTTTTGTCCAGGCAGGTCAATTTGATCGATTTTTTTTCCTTTGTGATAGAACAGTGCAATTACTGCAAAAAAATTCTATAAGTTTATAAATAACAAAAATAAACTTTAGAGAAATAAAACTTATAGGGTTAATCTGAAATAGGCAAGGAACACAAGGACGAAATGAAACATTGTCCTCCTCCTAACGCATCTTCCTGAACGTTTTATGACACATTGCTTATGACTTTTTCAAACGTTCTTTTTCAGAAATACTATAGTAAATATATATGTAAATATCTTTCGGCATTTGTTTGGAATTTCTACTATGCTATAATACAAAATGAAAATAAAAAAGTTAACTTCTAAAACAAGAGTTGTATGTAGCGTTTTGTAAAAGACACCAAAAGTGTACGCAAAAAAATCTTACCTTTAAAATATTTACAAAAAAATTCACACACTTTACACGTGCTCACTTGTTGTTGCCGAACTATCAAACATGTATGCCCTCTAGAAATAACACGATAATATCTCTATCTCGTGTCTCTATTTCGAAGCAGTCGGCATAGAAGACGACGTTAGGAAAAAGACAAGATTTTTGAATATCAACTTTAATATTTTGTTCTGTTTAAACTACTTTGTATAAAACTATTTAATTTTTATATACGAATAAAAGAACTTTCCATTGTTCAAAAATAATTTATTTTTTCAGAAGAAAGCTGCAAAGAAGAATAATATAATAATTTAAATTAATAAATCGCCTCTGGGGACAGTTAGGTTACAGGACATTTCACCTAGTTTTTCTGCCATATATAGAAACATAAAGTAATTAAAAAAAATACGATGGGTCCTAACAGGAAGGGGGTATTTAAATATAATAAATACAAAACTTATCAACAAAGGTCAAAAATAAAAATAAAATTAGCTGGGGACAGCAAATGTACATTTAACGAAAATTCACCCTTAAGACAGTCCTGATCATCCTGACCTCATTACCTAATAATATGCTATGCTCTTGAGAACTTCTTACCATTTGAATCTCCCTTAGCAGCATGTTGAATGCCATCTTCAGTTTTGTAAAGAAATCCAAAAGTACCATCTACTTTAGGCAAATTTCTTGTATCTTGCAGTATGCTCGGATTAAAGGAATTATCACATGCTACCAAATTTAGTAGAATGTATATCTAAAAATACAAACGATCGATTAATTATATTTAAATAGCAGACTAAATAAGCCTTATACAGGAAATATAAAAAAGTATACGTAGATATATATTTAAAATTGTTATTTTTTAATGTAAACATATTTTTTTTGGTTTTGGTTTACTGATTTAAACATTTTTAAGAAATGTTGTAGTAAAACCCATTTATTCTATAAATAAATGCTTATATATCTACGTAAGTATATTTTAGTTCATTAAAATTCCATTGCCCAAGTAAGAAATTGATACTAAACTTACGCTGAGAGATTTAATGATCATGGTCAGGTAACTTGTTTATAAACCACAATGCACTAGCAATGTCAATTAAAATAATGTCGGAAAATATAATTTCTTATTTATATACATACCAACGTTCCTAGTTTAATACTGATTGGTGGTTTGAAAAACCTTCTTGTATTGCAACTGTTACAAAAATTCAAATATTTGTAAATGGCATAAATTAAATCCTATAACCCTGAAAATGTACTTATTTTTATTAATTTGTTTTATTTATAATTTTTTATTTATTTACATAAATACCCGTTACAAAGATCATTATTAAATGTCAGCAAATTCCACATTTGGCGCCAAACATGTTAAAAAAATGTTGTTTGATTTTACTTTATTATACTTCAAGGGGTTTAAACATTGCCATCAATTTAAAGCAAAATTTAAAATTTAATTATATTTTTAAGTCGCCACAATATATAAAACACATAAAACTAATATACCTAGTGTAACGAATAGTGAGCATCCTGATTTAAATCGTCAATATTTTCTAACATAGTTTTGGAAGTCATTGCCATGGTAGTAACCAAATTTTAATATTTAGGGGGCCTCTAAAAATTAAAAGTGTAATTGAACAACATTCTACAAAAGTGCAACTTCTCAGCAGTATTTACAGTTATACTAAGAAAAGGGATATGAAATTAGTTAAATAAGTTGAAATAATTTTTAATATGCATATACCATAATACCATCTGTTGAATATTTAATTGGTATTTTTTATTAACGCCCCAGCTGACAACATGACGTTCTTTTTACGTATTAATTTCGTCACCCTTTACGTCGTTTTGACCTGTTAAATGACGTCGAATCGATCAAAATATGACGTATGTATCGATTTTGGGACAGCACAAAAACCAAAAAATTTAATTAAATTTCTGTGAAAAAAATACCCCAAATCTAAAACCCCGATAATATATTAAATTACTTTTTAAGCTTTCATATGTACCTACGGAGTATTTATACTTATGCGGATAGTTTTAGATTTGAGGCAACTTTTGTACAACCAATTCTTATTCAGTAAAAAACAGCAGTACATAGATGTACTTATTTAACAAACTGTTACGCTTGTCATAAACTGATAAATAACCAATATACCTATATAGGTACACTTGTAAAACTTATTATTCCATTACTTTTTCTAAATGCCCAATGGCGACCATGACGACAAACCAAGACGGGACACCGACTGACAAATTCGTTTAGTTGTTTACATTTTAACTCAAAAGATATAGGTAGGTTTTTAGGTATCAACGAAATAATAAAATTATGCTTACCTTAATCTATCTGCAACTGATTTAATGTATGATAATTAGGCAAAAGCAGACACTTCTTGCATGGCTTTAACAAGTTGTTGTAAGTTACAACTTGTAACTTTTTTTTAAACGCAAAGCATTCGGTCACACCCTCACGAGCACATCCGATTCGGCGGCTCCGAATTTTGACGAGAGCGTTTGGCGCGAAATTTAAATATTTAACTGCAAATACATTTTATTATTTATTTACAAGTTGAATAAATACTTTGTAATTTCTAATATATTTAGTGTCTAGGAAGTTAATAATTGTTTTAGTTTTGCTAATCAGGGCACAAAATATGTTGTGTTCTGGTTAGCAAAACTAAAAACAATACATACGATACGATCCATAATAATACTCTTTCTACATTTGTCAGCTGCATTAAAGTGATGTGTTTTAGGAAAAGGACCAAAAGTCCACAATGTACAAAATTAATTTACACATTGTTTTATTGTTAAAATTATTAGGTATTGTATCACTTTAGGTCAAAGTAATGTCGACGTTGGAAAATGAAGTATATGGTTGGTCTGGGTTGTGTCGTCTTAGATACGTTGATGTAAGGTCGTCGACGTCATTTACCAATAATCGACGTTTATATAACGTGACCATGTCAGCTGGGGTCATATATGAGTGTGAATATATTCACACTCCCGGCACGAAACAATGGGCTTATGATAAAGTTTTTGTTGTGTCTTGTTATTAATAATTAAAGACAATATTTCGTATCACTTGTTTATTAACATAAACTTATTCAGACATACATTTATCGACTGTGTTAAATGTCACAATTTACTTGTGTGTGTCTCTGGTGACAAACAGTGTTACCAACACAACATCTCCCTTTCTAGGAAATAATAGAGTAATTGCATCAAAAATGAAAATCCCTAAAAACCTTTTTATTGTAATCTAGAGGTAAAAACACATTGCGAAAATATTTTTTTATATTCCAAAAGTTCAACCCCGGCCCAAAATATCAAATTGAAAAAAAGGTACTTTTCAAACGTTCCGAACTCCCGCCATATTGCATGACGTCATAAGCTCCAACTGTCAGAAATCAAGATGTCAACAAATAATAAACATCGATAAAGTTTATGTTTAACATGGAAAACGCGAAACCAAAAATTGGTTGTAAATATTGTTTTGTGCCTTGTACAAATACAACCTGGAAAACTCCTGGGAAAAGGTTTATCACCGTGCCAAAAGGGAAAATAAGGATAAAGTGGATTAAAATAGCTCGGCGCGATATCAAAACATCGTCACCGCAGTCAACATTTTATTGATCATTTTAAGGATCATTTTAATGTAAGTAAAATAAAATGTCGTTTACTAGGTATATGGTTTGAATAGGTATGTTAAATATTAATAAACCCAAGAAAATACGGCTGAGCCGTAACTACTCTCAGTGTAGGGTCATAAACTTTGCTTTTGATAATTGAAGGGACAACTTTCCCAGGAGTTTTCCAGGTTGTATTTGTACAACAAGGCACAAAACAATATTTACAACCAATTTTTGGTTTCGCGTTTTCCATGTTAAACATAAACTTTATCGGTGTTTATTATTTGTTGACATCTTGATTTCTGACAGTTGGAGCTTATGACGTCATGCAATATGGCGGGAGTTCGGAACGTTTGAAAAGTACCTTTTTTTTAATTTGATATTTTGGGGCCGGGTTGAACTTTTGGAATATAAAAAAATATTTTTGCAATGTGTTTTTACCTCTAGATTACATTAAAAAGGTTTTAGGGATTTTCATTTTTGATGCAATTACTCTATTGTACTTAAATTTAAAATTATATATTACATAACATAATCCTTAAACCTAGTTGGTAATTGGACAGTACGACCACTATGTGTGATTCTTTGATTAACAGTAGTGTCAGACACCGAGTCTTTATTAGAATCCACTTTAACATTGTTTTGATTACTAGTACTTTCAAGGAAAGTACTTTCGGGAGTGTTATCAGAAGACTTAGTATTAATCTGAGTCTGAAGATGATCATCTGGACAATTTAATGAATTATCAATTTCAAATTTTGTATTAGTTGGTTTTAACTGACTAAAATTTCTTCTAATAACATTACCTTTGTTATTTAAGACAGTGAAAGACCTAGGAGTAGAATGATTATTGACCACTTGCCCTTTTTCCCAAAATTTGTCCTTGATAAGAACATTATCACCTGGATTCAAATCTTTATTGAAATTCTTTGCACCTTTGTCGTGATTGCGTTTAAAATATTCCTGTTTAGCTACAAGTTTATTATGTGCATATTTTGGAATTGTCGGTTTTAACAGTTCTGTGTGAATTGGAAGTTTAGTTCTAGTTAGTCTATTTATTAACATTTGGGTTGGGGATATCCCAATACCCGAAACAGGAGTATTCCTAAATTCCAGCAATGCCAGGTGGATATCACTATTATTATGAGAGCATTTTTTAAACATTAGTTTAGCCGTTTGAACTGCACGTTCGGCCTGGCCATTACTTCGTGGATATTTAGGAGAACTCGTACAAAATTCAAAATTCCAATGTTTGGAGAAATTCCTACATTCATAGGAAGAAAAAGGCATATTATCACATATTACAGTCTTTGGGATACCAAACGCTGCGAAAAGTATCTTGAGATGTCTAATGATCTCTGATGAGGTTTTATTTTTTAACAAAATTATTTCAAGCCATTTAGAGAAATAATCTTGTACAATAAGATAGCTATTTCCAGCATAGTCCATTATATCACAAGCTATCTTATGGAAAGGTACATTTGGTATCTCATGGGGGATCAATACATCACTTTGTTTGGAGTTTTGGTAACGCTCACAAACATAGCAATTAGATATCATATTTTCAATATTACTTGACATGCCCGGCCAAAATACAATTTGCCTAGCCCGTTGTTTTGTCTTAACAATACCGAAATGAGGTTCATGAAGGAGATGCAAAATATAGGATCTGAGTTTATCTGGAACTACCAAGCGGTGATTTAAAAATACTAAACCATCTTCAACAGAAAGTTCTGCTTGAAATTTATAGAAATATCTAATTGAACCATACATGAGTTCACTATTTTTTGGCCAATCATTTAAAATATAAGACATTACTTTGGATAAAACAGGATCATTCGCTGTAGCCTGTTTAAACTCAATCCTTTTAGCATCCGATATATTTAAATTTTTACTTAAAGTATGAACAGTTTCTGAGATCCATTGATCATCACCTTCACTCTCTTGCACATTTAAATAGGATCGTGAAAGCAAGTCAGCAATAAACATATATTTTCCAGGCAAGTAACTTAATGCTAACCTATATTTAAGTAATTTTATTCTCATCCGTTGTAAGCGTGATGAGGCTATGTCACCAATCTTTTTATTAATTAAAGTAACCAAAGGTTTATGGTCTGTGTTGACATTCACTTCACGACCATAAATGAAATTATGAAATTTTTTAACCGCAAATACGATGGCGAGAAGCTCCTTCTCTATTTGAGCATAATTTTTCTCACTAGAATTTAAACTACGTGAAGCAAATGAAATTGGTTTGTCATCTTGGAGAAGACAGCACCCAAGACCGTCTTTAGAAGCATCGGCTTGTATGGTTATAGATTTGGATGCGTCAAAGTTAGCTAACACCGGAGCATTTGAAATTATATTTTTAATTTTATCCAACACAACTGAATGTGCCGTTAACCACTTAAACTCGACTTTA